GTGTGTGCATGCCTGAATAATCCTGCCACAGACTCCTCATCTCCCTATAAACATAGGATACTGCTAATTCTGACAAGACACCCAGCCAGCTAATCCACATAGAGTGCACAGACTGCAGTGGGTGGCCGATGTCTCTATCACTGCTAAAGCAAATCATGGACCTGATCTTCACAAAGTTAGGAGTTTTAAATCCATACTCGAAATAACTTCCATCTCCAATGGATCACCACAGAAGTTGTGAGTGATCATGTGTCCTTGTTACCTTTAGGTTAGAGCCAATTCAGTCTGTACATTCATTGCTCTAATTGAAGCAATATCCACTTTCCTCATGGTAATGAAGCTGCCGTAATAACCTGTAATACAAAGTGGCACAAAATTAGTTTGTTTATAGAGGCCTTAAAACTCTGTGGTTCAGTTAAAGAAAATCATCAGGGTTCATCAAGCCAAAGAGGAACTAACAGTGGCATTAAAACTCACATGTTGCAGCAGAGGGACATTTTAACCCTTGGTTGCTCCATTAATAAATTGGCTTAATGGAAGCCCTGGACCCCCTTCTGGTCCTTATCCCAATAATTAAAGACCTGAGGCCATGGTGATGGGGTGTCCTCCCCCTGCAATTGGAGCGTATTGCTTATTGATTTTACCCAAAGGTTTCATGTCTGAGAAAGACTTTTTCATAAAAGCTGTTGACCTAACAGACATGATCTAATTAATAGAAAGACATATATTTGGTTGAGTACCATTATATCTATGAAAAATAGCATCTTAAAACATTCTTTAAAAACTGGAGTCAGATACTTGTTGAGAGAAAAGTAGAGCACAAAAAAAAGCTAATTGGTTAATAAGGAGGGTGGAGTTCAACTTCAGGGGATTGTTTCCTCTTAAGTGTGTTTGCATGACTTTGAACTTGGCATATGCCACCTAATGGCAATCAGTGTTTAAACAAAAGACAACTTTGTCTCAAATGACCAACACAAAGGAGTGTTTGTGCAGACAGCGTGTGGCTGTTGTAGTCAGGGAGAATTTAACTCCTATTATGGAGTCAAAAGAAGCCCACCCTGAGCAGCGTGATCCCCCCTTTCCACCCAGCTTCTTTACAATTCCTCCCCCAAGTTATTCAGCTATTGTTTACGTTAGATCTCCTGCTGCTGCTGCCATGGATATAATGGGAGAAAAAGAGAGCGAGAAGAATTTGTGAATGTTCATATGCATTAAGCATTTCTTTCAAAGGCATATATCACTTTTTCAAAGTGGCAGGCCAGTTTTAGTAATGCTAAAATCTTCTCTGGACAAAGCAGAGACTCATATGCTATAGAAATGATAATGAGCATTAAATATTAGAATATTTAGCCTGAGTCTTGTAGCTCTGTAGGTGTCAGCTCTAAATCCTTGGACTATTTTTTTCCTCCTCAGATTAGCTATAAAACAGACATGTGCAGATTTATGTATATGTACTCTACCATTCAAAAGTTTAGGTTCAGTAAGACTTAAAAAAAAAAATTAATTGCATGAAAATAAAGACATTTGCAATGTTACAAAAAAGTTTTGCTTCAAATAAATGAATTTTCTATTGTGGGGGGAAAAGTACCACAGTTTGGCTGCTGCTAAAAAATACAGGTTTACCATCCCAGCAATAGATTACATTTTAAAATATATTAAAATAGAAAATAGTTATGTTAAATTGTGGTAATATTTGACAATATTACTGTATTTTTCATCAAGTAAATGCAGCCCTAGTTTTAAGGACATTTTCATTCATACACTATATTATATTATATTATATTATATTATATTATATGATATGATATGATATGATATGATATGATATTATATTATATTATATTATATTATATTATATTATAGTAAGGTAAAGTGATGGTGAGAGTGTTACAGATCTTTGCCTCATTGACCCTTCAGAGACTCTGATTAGAAACGAAGGACATTAGAATAATGTCTGGCCTCCAACAATAGTTTGTGAAGTTCAGGTCCAACCTTAGTCTGGGGACAATGGCCCGAATTGGGGGCTGGGACTGTGTGTGTGACTGGACACAGGCTGTGTGCCTTAGGCCCCACGTTGTTCATCCACCCTTCACCAACTCTCTCATGACCCTTTAGGGACCGAGGTCACAGCTCAAGGGGTGGGGATGGGTGGGGGTCTCCTGCTGCTCAGCTCATCGTCTACAAGCCCCCCAAAACCCCATTACTATCCACCTCTCATCTGAATTATCTGAATTATCCCCAAACTTGAGCTCTTAATCACACTTCTGTCCGGGTCTCATGCAGGTTGTAGAGGGTTATTAGACTTTATAATCGACATACCCTATGCACCATCATCACCATTGTGGAGACCATGGAGATCTTAGAATAGTGTGCTATAATGACAAACTTCTCTAATGAAAAGATTAGGTGAGCAGAAACATAAAACCTGTTTCTTACAAAAGTGGAATATTAATACATTTTATTGTTCTCTAAGATGGTTAGTGTTTAAGATCAAGTCCATTTATATCCCTGCTATCACATTTCCTTTTTTTTTAAATTGGATGTATCTAGCAAAAACAAAAAAACAAAAAAAACATTATATTTTTACACCAATACCTATTGCTTAGGCCCATGTGTTATACTCTATATCTCTGAATCCAGCTTGTGTGACATAACCCCCCTTTCCCCTGGGACCTCTGAATTTCATTAACACTTCGGGTGCAGTAAGCCAGGGAAGGGTCAGATGTAAGCTAGCCCTCATAAAACTGAAAGAGGAAGAGACAGACCCGTCCCATCTACATCTGCTCAGTGTGTGAGTTAACTGGGAGCGAAAGGAGCATCCCAGATATTCCCTTCAGTGGAAGACTAGTTTATAGCTCTATATATTTATGGACTCCAGTTTTGATATTGTCCAAGGTATGACTCCAAGTGATGCTTGAGCTTATATGGTCATGTTGTCATTGTTAATGTCAGATTTTGCAGCAGTGGTTTTCTAAAGTTCGCACTCTGAATAGGCAGCCTTATTAGAGAGAAACAACACTCTTAATAGTTCTGGACCAAACCGATCATTATTTTCATTCTATACTAAAAAATCTAAAACCTAAATCTAAAATCATTTTATTTTCATTTTAAATTATTTTCATTCATTTCATTCATTCATTTTACAGTCATTTTAAAAGCTAAAAGTGAATTTAGTCACCGTATAATGTACATTATAAAAAAAAAAAGTTTTGCTAAAGATAAATTTCACAGTGTTATTACATTGTTGGTGTTTTTAAAGATTTACTAAGTAAGCATTAGGTGATGGTAAAGGTAATTTAAAGGTAAAAATGCACAATTAAATATCCAGTATTAGCACACCAATATGTAAGAGAATTGCTAAATTCTCAAATATTGTCAATGTAGTACAGATATATTTTTTCATCCCTATAAGCATAACACATCTTTTTTTACAGCTCTAAATGACCTACATAAATCTAAATATGTCAAATAATAAGCAGCTAGATGCACTTAAAAGGGATAGTTCACCCAAAAATGAAAATTATGTCATTATTTGTTATATTCCAAACCTGTATGACTTTATTTCTTCTCCACACACATATTTTAAGGAACTGTTTTTGTCCATACAATGAAAGCCAATGGGGTCCAAAAACACACTGAGACTTTAAAATTATTAGCTGATCTATCCCTATGACTAAGACTCTTAGTCTCGTTTGACATTCATGGTATGGCTGTCATGATCAAGTGCAGGTGGCGTTCGAGGAACCCAGTGGTCAGAAATTTGTATATTTTAGTGCATACTGAATGGGGGGTAGGTTATAATATCCATCTAACAGATGCTGAAGGAAGGTACTTCACATCTCATCTAATGCAAGTTCAAGAGCAGACTTGTGCTCTTTAACATAACAGCTGCTGGAGACACCGGCCATCTCCAGAGGTCACATTAAAGGTTGCTTTAGGTCTGGAGTTCTCCATATAAAAAGCACAGAAGATGTGTGGAATGGCCATGTAGCGAGTTGACAATGAGAGAGGACTGGGGTGAGCCAGTGGCATGGGAAAGTCACCCTGGAACCAGACTGAAAGGAAAATGTGACCGCTGGGCTGTTTGGGATGGTGGGGGTTTGTATAAGTGGGGGGCAGATGGTCCAGACTGAGAGAGGTGCAGAAGGCTCCTGGTGGTTACCGAGAGTTGTTTTTTTGGGTGTCGTCACAGGCCTATTGTCATCAGGGTGGGTTTATTCAAAAGAGATTCCTCTAACTTGACCCCATAACTCACCCTAATTCTCCATCCCTTCTACTCTGGCTTTGTCGCATGCAGCTCTCTATGCTTCACTGGCTACATTGCGTTTGTCTCTATTGTGATGACCAGGTTTGGTTTGATGATACTGAGTAAATAGGCAGATATGCTTAGATGGTAAAGCTCACAATGACGTCAGTCCTGAGACACAAATGCAGTTTTTTGGATATGGAAAGTTATGGATGTGGAAAGTATTTTTCCAAGTCTTGAGGTGACAAAGAACACAGACATATGCAACAAACACAAAAACATGCATATCATAAACTCAAAAGGAAAAGTAGCTAAAAATTATGCTAACTTTAATGTCTATAGAAGTCAAGTCACATTTATTTCTATTGTGCTTTATGCAATAAATATTGTTTCAAAAGCAGCTTCACAGTACTAAACAAGAAACCAACAGTATTAATGTTGCAAATGTACAAATATGAATAGAATTTAAGCTCCAAAGCAGCTCTAAAAAACAAGTGTCATTTTTTTCAATAACAGTGTGAATGTTGCAATGTTCATTAGTTATGAAGCAATCTCAGTTCATCTACAGAAGGTAATAGTGTCAATATTCAGCTCAGATCAGTTCATGTTGCAGATTTCATCAATTATGAAACAGCTTCGATTCAACTATAAAGCAGCTTTACAGAAGACACTGTCATTCTCCAGCTCAGTTTAGTTCTTATTCATTAGTGTCAGTGCAGTCAAATTGATAATATTGCTGAATATTAAGTGCATTTTAAACCTGTCACCATTCTTCTTATATATAATCGTTTAATACACATAACTATTATTATAATCTCATTTCTGACCATTTATTTTACATGCAATCTTTACCTTTTAGGGTTTGTTTCATTTGTGTTCTGACCCATCTTCTATCCCTCTCTCACTTGCAGGTTTGTGTAATGGATCTGAGCTGGCTTTCCTTACGCAGCCCAGCGATGTGATCGCGGTGCGGGACAGGCCGTTGATGCTGGACTGCAGGGTGGAAGGTGAGGGTCCCATCACGGTGACGTGGCATAAGAACGGAGCGCCGCTGCTTCCGGGAGTAGGCAGCCGGGCGGAGATCCTATCCAACGGCACGCTCCTGATCCACAGCTTCCAGAAGAGACGGGATGGAGATACGAGCGATTCTGGAGAGTATTACTGCGCTGCACAGAACCACGACGGCATGCTGGTCAGCCGCAAGGCCCGTGTGCAGCTCGCATGTGAGTGACTGAGGAGAAACATGGGCAGCTAATGAAAAATTCACTATGATATGAAATCATATGCTTTGCCTATACTTTTAATTGTTTATGTGAGAAATACAGTGACACAGTGGCAGCACCAATGTACTCCTTGTCTCTGCTTTTACTCGATCCTTTCCCATCTTCCTCTGGCTGTCCCTTTGGTCCTATAAAAGCAGTAGGGTGGGTGATAATCCTGTAGAATTATAGTTGTCACTACATGCTTCCCCAGAAGGTACTACGTTACCATGGAAATGAACTCTCATTGGGAGGCCCTTCTTCTAACACCCCTATCTATTGATTATATGAACGACCAGGCTATTTAGACCACAATGCTCTTCTTGGCCCCTCATCCTACATCCCCAATGAAAATCAACATTTTAGATGCCAATATCAAGTTATCATGGTAACTTCACATATGTGAAAGTAAGAATAATGTGTACTTACTTGCAATGTACTTACAGTGTACTTACCAAGTACTGAGTAATATAAGGTAACTATGGGTTAAGATTCGGTTTAGGGGTAGGTTCTGGACTAGTACCTAGTTATTACCAAGTTATTGTAATTACTATAATAAGTATATAGTATGTACATGCGGAACGGGACTGTACACTAAAATGCTACCAGAATAATTGTTACACCACAAAATAATCTTTTAATAAATAAATTTTTTTATCTTGTTTTTTTTTAGGAAATATCTAGAAAATAATCAAATGTTATATACAAATATCTTCAAAATAGGATACATTTACTTGACACGCAAAATCATGAAGAGAATATACCCTGAAACCTCACAGTTTTATTACGTGTATGCTTAATATAATACAATTATGTAAATATAAAATTATATATATTTATTATTAAATGTATATTTCTGTAAATGTTTTTAAGGAAGCCTCTTGTTCTTTTTATTTAATGATCTAAAATACAGTAAAAACAAATATTGTGAAGTATTATTCCAATTTTAATTTTATCTTACTATATTTAAAAAGAAATAATTTATTCCTGTGATGCAAAGCTGAATTTATTTTAGCATTATTACTCCAGTCTTCTTCAGTGTTATAAAAGTTGTGCTGCTTAATATTTTTGTGTAAATTGTGATACATGTTGTTTATCAAGATTCTTCGATGAATAGAACGTTCAAAAGAATATACAATAGAACATATCTCACTCAACTGATATTAATTATTATTTCTATGGATTATATCTCACTCAATTCTCTTCGTCCCACAGCTCTCCCTAAATTCCATACTCACCCAGAGTCCATGTCAGTAGATGAGGGAGGTGTTGCACGTTTCCAGTGTCAGGTCAATGGCATTCCTGAGGCCAACATCACTTGGGAGAAGGACCGTGTTGTGCTTGGAACCTCTGATGACAGGTAACATGGTCCTAGCAAACAGTCTTTCTTTATTTTGTTCCTCACAATTGCTCATTCGTGTTACTCTTTCTCCACAGGTACACACTTCTCCCAATGGGTATTCTGCAGATTACAGGAGTTAAGAAATCAGATGCTGGCGTCTACCGCTGTGTCGCCACCAATATCGCCAACACCCGCTACAGCCATGAAGCCTATCTGAACGTAACCGGTCAGTAGTCAACCTTGATCTGACAAACACCCCAGATTGCATGTACATACCTTTAACCTTAAACTTTGTTCATCCAGTAAATAAGGCCTAAATTATGTTTGTATTGAACATGTGGCTTGATGAAGGACACAACCAGAACATTGATTACCTCGAATGTCATGATGTCAAATGTCATCCTAATATTATCATCTCTTTATTTGTTCCTCAATGCTCAGGAGGTGTCCCTCGCACCTATAAGGAACCATTCATCCTGTCCGGCCCACAGAACCTCACCATTACCGTCCATCAGACCGCCATCCTGGAGTGTATCGCCACCGGAAACCCTCGCCCGATTGTGTCTTGGAGTAGACTTGGTAGGAATCCTCATACTTAAACTGTCCAAGGATAACTGGGTGTGTTCACACGTGGCGATTAAAACGAACTTTGGTGCGATTGCTCTGTTGCAAGAATTAGTGCGGTTCATTTGAATAAGTGTGAACGCTGTCATCCGGACCCTGGTGACACCAAACAAGCGGACTGAGGCCCCTGAATAGGTGGGTCTCTGTCCTCTTCCAGTCAAACTCTGGTGCGGTTCGACTGAAATATGAACGCAACACGATCCAAAGACATGTAAACAAACCCAAAACAGGACGTGATGTCACAAGATGCGATCCTGAAAAGGACAGAATGCTCAAGAATACCTGGTTCTTCTCGTCATAGTCCCGATGCTGTCCATTACAGTTCAGTTCATTTAGTCCAGCACTGCATTGTTTTGGATGTTCAATAAGTTCCGTCGCAAAATATACGTTTTTGTTTTGTAGATTTTGGTTCAGACAGTGTGAACACTACGCGAACCAGGGCTAAATGTATCTTTTTCTTTTTTGGTCCAGACCAAAAGGACCAAGAAAAACGAACTACAAGTGTGAACGCACCCTTAGTTGTTCTCTAGTTCTGTTCTCCTCGTAATTCATTTCCTTCTCATTATCCATTTCCATCAGATGGCCGATCGATCGGAGTGGAGGGCATACAGGTGCTGGGCACGGGGAACCTGATGATCTCAGATGTCTCCCTTCAGCACTCTGGAGTATATGTGTGTGCTGCCAACCGGCCCGGCACCAGGATGAGGCGTACCGCTCTGGGCAGGCTGGTCGTGCAAGGTAACCTTACTGGATTTCTAACAGAAATCCAAAGATATTATTTTGTGACTAATAGTACTCATCTTCCACTCAGGCTTAAAATCCTTTTTATTATTCCTCTTCATTTTGGCATTTTTATGTCAGATTAAAGATCATTTACAGTGCCTACTGTTCAAAAGTTCAGGGTTGGTAAGATTTTTAAAATGTTTTTGAAAGTCTATTCTGCTAATTATAAGTAACTCTGAAACTACATGTCAACTAACTCTCATTAGAGTATTAGTAGACTGTTAGGTTAGGGTTAGTAGAATAAGTTGACATGTAGTTGCAAAGTTTCTTCTAGTCAGTATAATGTCTGTTGAGGAGCATCAAAATAAAGAGTTAGTAGATATTAAGCAGACAGTCTACTAATACTCTAATGAGAGCTAGTTGACATGTAGTTGCAGTTATGTTTAAAGTGGACCATGAAAAAAAAGTATTACCTTACAATTTAAAATAACTTTTCTATTTTAATATGTAATTTATTCACGTGATTACAAAGTCGTCAGTGTCACATGATCCTTCAGAGATCATTCTAATATGCTGATTTGGTGAAACATTTCTTCTTCTTATCAATGTTGAAAATAGTTGTGCTGCTTCATATTTATGTGGAAACTGTGATGAATAGAAAGTTGATTGAAATAGGGTTGATTTGAAATCTTTTGTATTTGATGTCACGTTTGATCAATTTAATGCGTCCTTGATAATAATTTTATTTTGAAAGGTAGTGTATTGAATCACAGAACTATATGTTTTAGCTTCAGTGTTTCATAAATGGTCCAAACTCATAGGGAAAGTAATAGCTGACCCCACACCGCTTAATCCTGATTTGTTGTGACACAAGTTCACCAAGCACCACTATTACAGTAATTGTATTACTTGCACACTTCACTGAGCACAACATAGCAAGCATATTATCTTTTGTGTGTGTATAATGAAAGTATGAAGTATTTGTCGGGTGCTATGATGACCAGGCGTCAAGCAGAATTGGTTTTGAACATGACCCTTGTAAGCTGACTGGTCAGCACAGCAGGAGAAGTCAATGTTCAGGCCCTCCCTTCTCTCTGCCCTTTTTGTTATTTTTTCTCACTCACTCTGTACTGGGTCTGATGGTGTGGGACTCTGACTACCATTATGGTAATTGAGGCCTGCTGGTGCTGTCCAGCTGGGCTTGAGAGGAATAGCTTGTGTAATGAAGTCAGCTGTTAGGAGATATCCCCCCTTCAACACCCCAATGACAAAGCTCATCCATCACCCTGCTACTGTCCGTACATTCAACCTGATCATATATCCCTGAGGGATAAATGTGCTCCTCTTATTGGCTATCTTCAAAGTAGCTGCACACTGGGGGTCTTTAGGAATAGACAACATGAGAACAAATGGGTAAATCATCCATGAGAGAGTGAAGTACAAATGGGTAAATCATCCATTAGAGAGTGAAGTACAAAAGTCATATTTAATACCACACAGTCAGTAGCTGTGAAGATCTATGCTTCTCATTCATCTGAACATAAGCATAATCATGTATTTTAACATCTTACACAGTAAAAGTGATGGCCAGGAGACAGAAAAACATAATCAAAGCTCTGAATATCTGCTCCTGAGATAATGCAGATTATCCTCTTGTACTCTTGTCCTTATGCATCTGTTCATTCGTTAAATTGTTGTTGGAATTGCACCCAGGTGTGCTTTCTCTATCTGTGACCCAAATGTCCAGCTTAAGCCTGATCAATCAATAGTCACCCCTATCAGTCTTTTACAACAGAATTGGCAGTGAAGCCATTTGGGGGAGGTAATCTTGAATGTATTGATTCATTTATTGATCCACTTTTTTGTGTAAGATGGGAACAAAGAGATTAGGTTAGGTTATTTCGCCAAAATGGAAACCAAAAACCTTCCCAATACACCCTGAGAAAAGCCTTGTTAAGTAAGTCAGATCAATGATGCAAATGGAAATTTAGAGTAACGAGAAAGAGAAATTCCATGCCAAGGAATTGCTCAAAAATGCTTTATTAACAACACTTTACAATAAGGTTCAATTTGTTACCATTAACACAACTGCCAATGAACAACAAATTGTAAAATGTATTAATATTGTTAATTATTTAGTTAATGTATTATGAATTGATATTTTACTTGATGAACAAGTATAGAAATTCAGATAGAAGAAGCAGAAAGGGGATTATGGATATTTTAGTCACACATTTGATAACTTCTGTGCCGTCTGTCTGCCTGTCACAAAGGTAAAATCAGCACCTCCTAGTCAAGTTCAGGTCTATTTATGAAAGGTTGTTGTCCGACTCTCAGCTCATTGTGGAAGTGAGGTCTGCACTTTCACACACCCGTGAAGGTTGGGACAGATGCTGAGCCAGGATGTGGACAATAGAGAACAAAAGGGTAGACAGGCAAAGAGCAGTGTGTGTGTGTGTATGTTTTGGGAGGGGCGAGGTATCCCCTCTCACCTCTGCCCTCTCATTTCTCACCTTTGACATTGGCCTAGGAAGCTCTAGTAGAGAGCCAGCGGAGGGGGCGGAGTCTCCTCTGACAGACAGGTAATGAAGCAGCGAGGGCGGGGCAAGCAGAATGGATGGTCCTCAAATGAGGACGGGTGATGGTCCTTCTTGACCCTCCCCCATGGTTTCCATAGCATTACGAGGCCAGCTGGTGGTCAGGCAACGGGTGACGAAGTTCAAGAGAGGGACTATGACAGTATCGAGGGAACCCCTTCCATTGTCTTCACCCTGGGTTATTTTTAATATGAAAAAATGAAAGGGTGTTGACTGGTTCAGCTGAAATTTTTAACCTGAAAATGTATGCCATACACATCATAGCAAGTGCAAAAATAGCCATTCATATTGAACATGGGCTTGAAATCCAGTGATTGCTCTCAAGAATTAGTTCATTTTGTTATGCGTATGAAAGTATTACACATCAAGAGGCAGCCATGTTTTTCAACAATAATAATTGATTGCACAAGTCACACAACAGAATGAAACGAATGAGGAGGAATAGCTGATCAGATTCAAGGTCAGGATCTGAGAACCTGCTAAAAGAATAACTGATCAATAGATGAGGTGGATTGGACACTGATGCTGTCAGTTGACCCTGGTTGTAAAGACGCAGCTGGTTAGTTGAGGGGAAAACAGACCCCAGAAAGCTGATGCTGCTATCTAATTGTACTCTGATTGCTTCCTCTTTGCAGGCAAGGGAAATTGCATGTCATGAAATTATAAATCCATCTGAAACAGTCACAGATCGACATGTGCATGTGTTTTATGTGTGCGTGAGCTCTGTTTATAGCTGACTTTTATTATTCGTTTACATGTAATTAAGAAGTTTGATTTCAGTCAGACTAAAAACACTAATTCGTCTTTTTAAGATGCCATATAAATGCTTGAGCCTGACGGAAATAGAACAAGAGCAGTTTTGATTATTCCTTTTGACTACACGTGTTATAATGTGAAAACCTTTTGCTAAAAGAATAAGTTTCATGCTTATACCACAGCTAAACATGTTTATAATAACATGGTGCAAAGTAGAAAAGTATCATTTTTGGAAATCAGGGCTAATAATAAAGCTCAACTGCTCAACTGCACTACCAGTCAAAAGTTTGGAGTCATTTTTTACATAAAAAAAAATAAATTATTTTATGCTTATCAAGGCTGCATGATAAGAAATGCAGTAAAAACAGTAATATTGCGTAATATTATTACAAATTTAAATAACAGTTTTCTGAATAAAATTATATTTCTTATTAATATGATAAAAGTTTTTGCTGCTTAATATTTTTGTGGAAACTGTGATACACTGCAATTCAAAAGTTAAGGGTAAGTCCGTTTTCTTTTATAAAAGACATTAATATTTTTATTCAGCAAGGATGCATTAAATTGATCAAAAGCATCACGGTTTCCACAAAAATATTAAGCATCAAAAACTGTTTTCAACATTGATTGAATAATAAGAACTATTCTTAATACTTGAGCACCAGTGATTGATAATAATTGAGCAGCAAATCATCCTATTAGAATGATTTCTGAAGGATCATGTGACACTGAAGACTGGAGCAATGATGCTGAAAATACAGCTTTGATCAGAGGAATAAATCACATTTTAAAATACATTAAAATGGAAAAAAGTTATCTTTATTAATCTTTATTCCAAAATGTTAGCCAATTGTGTATATCAGATGCCAGACAGATGCAGCATGTATCGGATCCCTCTCAAGGCCTTTATTTAGTCCGTCCTCAGTTTAAAACATTTCTATTCAAGGATGTCTATTCATCAACAGTTCTACTCAGGTTCAAGTGTGAAGTGCTTCTTGGGAGAGAGGAGAACCACTATGACGTGGCTGATGAATGACACCCCCTCCTCACACACACACACACACACACCGCTGTTCATTCAGATTGCGTCTGGAGGTCTGAAGTGACCTCTGTCCTATTGTGCCCTGCTATAGTTTCATTAAACACACCCCTCCAGCCCCTCCCACTGCTCACTTTGACCCTAATGTCTTAGCAGAACCCAATGAAGTGTTTTTAAAGGCTGCATTTCTCATTTCAGGCCTACAAGGACCCATATGATGAATTTTATGTTTTTATAGGGGTGCTTGATGTCTTGTTGTGGTTTTCTAACCTCAGTTTTTATGCATTTTAAGTCTTTTTTTGTGCCTGTTTTAAAAAATAAAATATATATATATATATATATATATATATATATATATATATATATATATATATATATTTTAGGGCTGTCAAATGATTAATCACGATTAATCACATCCAAAATAAAAGTTTTTTTTACATAATATATGTGGGTGCACTGTGTATAATTATTTTGTATATATATATAAATACACACACATGCATGTATATTGAAGAAAAAAATATTATTTATATATAAAATATTTATATTTATATATAATAAAAATTATATATAAATCTATATACAGTATATACATGAAAATATTTCTTAAATATATACAAGCATGTGTGTGTATTTATATATTTAAAATAATTATACACAGTGCACCCACATATATTATGTAAAAAAAACTTTTATTTTGGATGTGATTAATCACGATTAATCATTTGAGAGCCCTAATATATATATATATATATATAAACTAGAAATATTTTTATATATATATTTAAGTATATATAAATATATACTATCATTTAAACATCAAATGAAAAAAAATACTAATACTACTAATAATGATAAATAAATAAATTAAATAATTAAATAAAAAGTATTAAAAAAAAAGAGGTGCCCATATCTTTTCAAAAGTATGCTTTCGCTCTTGATTTATTTATCTATTAGAGTTTAAGTGAACTTACTTTCCTTATCAATTGATTCTGAAGTAGATTTTAAAAGAAATCTTTTCATTTTTAATTCTATTTTAGATATTATTCAGGGCACAATGATGAAAAACAACAATCAGCTGTGAAACCCAATTAAACATCTTCTGTGCGGCTCATATTGATCTGCCAAATCTATATTTTTGTCCAACGGTTTTAGAAATGTTGACCTCTTTTGAAGGGGGAGCTTCGCTGTTTTAAAGATCGGTGCCTGATTAATAGCTCTCTATTGAAATAGGGTTCCCTTTGACCTATGACCCTCCACACCTCCACAGAGCACTTCGGACCCTCTTCCCAGGGAGAAGGGGTTTGGTCTGGGGGTGTCTGGTTGTGGTGGGTGTCAGTAGATCAATGAGATGCATAGTCCTGGGGTCTGGAGAGCTCTACATATATGCATGGCCATTGTGCGGACACTGAAGAGGTGTCAAGCGGAGCGATGAACCTGCATCTGTGACGCTGAGCCAGACGAGCGGCCGATAGAGAGCACAAAACTAGAGTTTAAGTTCAAGATCTGATTTTTGAATTGAGTGCATTTTATAAGGGCCATATACTGGTAAAATATGAATGTCTTGATGTTAAACAAATGTATCTCTGGTTCTCATTTGAAATGAGCTTTGTCTCTGTATCATACTGTCTGTGCTGCGTAATATTTTCACATTCATAACTGAAATTAAAGTTTTATTTTAGATCAAAACAGACATATTTTAAAGCTATTCATATCATTGTCTTGGTTTTGATATAATTAAATTGTAACACTTTACAATAAGGTTCATTTGTTAACATTTGTATTCATTAACATGAACTAAGAGTGAAAAATACTTTTACAGCATTTATTAATCTTAATTTCAACATTTACTAATACTTTATTAAAATCAAAATTTGTTTGTGTTAATTTTATTTAATGGGTCTGAATAACGAACTATGAATTTTTTTATTTTATTACCTACATTATCAATGATTAATAAATACTGAATTATAATATGTTTATAATAGTGATTATACTTTAGTTAATTAATGCATTAACTAATGGACCTTTTTGGAAAGTGTTACTAAATACATTATTAAATTGGTTAAATGAATAAATATCTTTGTTGTTGTTGTTTTTTTGGTATAATTGAGACTATTATAGTTTTAATTTTTATATTTTACTTTAAATTTTTGTTAAAGTTTTAGCAATTTTTTTTTTATGTGTATTGGGTTTCTTTTTTAAATATGCCTATATAGTTTTTAGTCATTTTTATTTCATTTTAGTTTTAGTTATTTTAGTACATCAAGTTAGACTAAGTGAAAATAATAACTGTTTTCTTGGCAGCTAGCTGACATAAAATAAGTTTAAGTTTTTTAATATTATATTTCAGTTAACATTTATTTTATTTCAAGTAATGGCTTTAGTTTTATTGGTAACACTTTACAACAAGGTCTCATTTGTTAACATTAGTTAATTTATTAACTAACAAGAACTAACCACGAGCAATACATTTGTTTGTTAATCTTTGTTAACATTAGTTAATAAAAATACGTTGTTCATTGTTTGTTCATGTTAGTTCACAGTGCATTACCTAATGTTAACAAATACAACATGTGATTTTAATAATTTATTAGTAAATGTTGAAATGAACAAAGATTAATAAATGCTGTAGAAGTGCAGTTCATTATTAGTTTATGTTAACTAATGTTAACCAATGAAACCTTATAGTAAGGTGTCACTGTTTGAGTTAGTTAACTTGAATGCTAACCCTGTCGCTCTCTCAGCTCCTCCAGAGTTCCTGCAGTGGCCGCAGTCTGTGTCGAAGGCAGCAGGGGGCAGCGCAGTGTTCACGTGTGTGGCTCAGGGTGTTCCTGAACCTCACATCATATGGCTGAAGAATGGAAAGATACTCACGCCTGGTGACAATGTCAAACTCACCAACAATAACAGGTACACACAGTTAGGAGACTCACAAATTGCAACAGGAATACACAAAATTACTGCTGAAATACAGTAATTTCAGCAGTCTGAATTTAATTAATTGCAACAGGAATACACAAAATTACTAAATAATTACAAAATAATTTACAGTAATTAACTTACAGTAATTTCAGCAGCCTGAATTTAATTAATTGCAACAGGAATACACAAAATTACTAAATAATTACAAAATAATTTACAGTAATTAACTTACAGTAATTTCAGCAGCCTGAATTTAATTAATTGCAACAGGAATACACAAAATTACAAAATAATTTACAGTAATTAACTTACAGTAATTTCAGCAGTCTGAATTTAATTAATTGCAACAGGAATACACAAAATTACTAAATAATTACAAAATAATTTACAGTAATTAACTTACAGTAATTTCAGCAGCCTGAATTTAATTAATTGCAACAGGAATACACAAAATTACAAAATAATTACAAAATAATTTACAGTAATTAACTTACAGTAATTTCAGCAGTCTGAATTTAATTAATTGCAACAGGAATACACAAAATTACAGCTGAAATACACTTAGCCATAAAACCTTCAGAAATACACATGCCTATAAACATAAATTACACACAAAAAAAAAAAAATTATGTTTAGGTGCATATTTAGATTTTTGTATTTTTTAATTTATTGTTTTTGTTTTTCTAAATTTATTTTCTCTTTAACTGTTTTCTATTTTTTTTGTAAGAGAATATAAAAACAATATTTTAGCTGCTTTATGGACCCTTTTCACAGACTGTGATGACTCGTTTTCACAGTAATCAACATTGCAAATCGAGTAAATATTTCTAGTATTTTCATGTTTAAAAAATGTAATACACATTCTATATTTTGCGTTATATTACTTTGGCATTAAATGACTGCTGCGATGCTGTTTCTAATAAGAACGGCAAATATGACATCTTTCTCTCTTCTGACCAACGTAAGAAATCTCTCGATATTTTTTCCCTCTTTTGAAAAAGTCTTGGATTTTTTCTTTTGCTATTAGAGCAAATGGGAATACAAAAATCATATTTGCAGTCATCTCCCATTCACTACTATAGAAGTTTACCGAACTATGACGACTTCAGCTTTTGAGAACCCCAGAAATATAAAAAGGTTAATTTACCTATGAAAATTTCTGGTGTCATTACCAACCTCTGTCCACTAGATGTCAGTGTTCACCTGTTGTAATGTGCAATATCTGTAAATGTTAACAAGGTCCCAACATCTTCACAGTTTAGATTTTTGTAAAATAATTGTTATTGTTTTTAGCACCCTGGCCGTGACTCGCATCACATCAGAGGACGAGGCCATATACCAGTGCATCGCTGAAAACTCGGCCGGCACTAACCAGGCCAGCGCTCGTCTGGCTGTTTCCCTGGCCAAAGAGCTGCCCGATTCCCCTCAGGGCCTGAAAGCCACGGCTCTGTCTAAAACCACCTTGCAGCTCTCCTGGACACAGCCGCCGGCTGAAATCACGGACGGGATCATCGGATACGTGCTGCACATCCGCAAGTATGGCGGTAAGTGCCTCTGGAGTTCTGGGCTGCGTTTAACTCCACTTCAGACATACATTCGCAAACTTCCCAAGGCACTTCCCCTCGGGGGAATCCCCAACTTTATCAAGTTGGCGCTGGCGGGAAGGAAGTTTAAATGGACAGACCCTCGACTCCTCGATTTTGAGTCTACTCAATATTTACTATTCAGTAAAGCAGATCCATAAACCACAATGCAACACGATTGGGACGTCAGCAGATTGAGCTTAATTTACCCCCACTCCATACAACCAATGGCTAATGCACCACACTTTTGTTTTCAGAGCCTGAGAGTAAAGAACTACAGGAGGCAGTGAGTAAGACAACATTTCAGCATGACCTCACAAACCTTGAACCTGCGACCACCTACTCCATCTACCTGAAGGCCTACTCTCCTCTGGGTGCCAGTGAACGCTCCAGTACTGTGGTTTCCACAACACTAGGGGGCGGTATGTAGCTACACACTGGATGCTGTTTGGTTCATGTTTTGCTTAGGCCACTACAATTTCAAACTCTTCCTCCATCTCCCCAGCTGTCTCTTCTCTGAGCCACGTCAGCATTTCTAGCTCCCTCTGTCCACACATATGTCCTTTCCCTGTTTTGTCACAGATGTTTGAGCATGGCTTCCTTTTTGCCCACCCGGCTTATGTTTTTTCCCTTCAACAGAATTAACTTTGACAGTGTTCCTTATTCCTCTGAGCTGATTATAATGTTTTTTCTTTCTCTATCTCCCATCTAGTGCCCAGTCCACCTACATTTTTCACCAAAGCAATAAACAGCACTGCAGTCCAGGTCCTATGGGAGCTTCCCAGTAAGCCTGGGAAAACGGAGGGTTTCCGACTGTCATACCGCAGGGTTCCTCATGGAGAGATCCTGGGGCCGATTCAGTTGCCATACCATGTTAACGCTCACACCTTCTCTCATCTCGGTGAGGGATAACAGTTTCTGTTTGTGTAAACTATGTTGATTCAGCAATAGATGCAATATATATTTGCAGACGCCATACGGTTTGCTGTTTTCTTATCAAATGCAATTTAATTCATGAATTTGAAATATATGTTAAGTCATAGGTTTTCAAATTGGCTGTTGGCACCTGCAGAAAATTTGAGAGCATGTTTTAAGGCTTTCAAAGTAAACCTTAATATTGTTTTGCAATTATATTTAGTGTGAAAAGTGCAATACAAAATCTAAAAGTGTTTCAGTTTTATATAACATTACTCTGATAGATAAAATATAGTTTATTTTAAATAATTATTGTTTTATTGTTTAAAATAACTGTAAAAATTTGTACAATAAAAACAAAAGCCAATTATTTAATTTAGCACAAAAAAAAACATGTCTTTATAATACATTTTGTGTAATTTTTTTATAACTGAAAATGTTTATTTATATATACCTTTATATTTTTTGGAAGGGGGTCCCTGACAAATGTGAATCACCACTTTTTTTGGTTGTTTGGCATCAAACAGTAAAATAATAAATAAAAACACCCTGTTTTCAGTGTATAAATATGCCTACTTTTCAAGTCAAGAGCTTTATTGTCATCTGTACTTTAGTACAATCCAATTCTTATTTTGTTACACATCCCTGTAGAATTTTCCCACATAATCAGCACAAAAAAGCCATCAGATTTCATCTACCCCTGCTTATTTTGACGTTTTATACTGAAAACTCTCTCGCTTCTCTACTCAGTCTAAATGACCTGTTTCAGCACCTCTGGAGAAGCCATTATGTTTGTACAGTGATAGTTGAAATGTTCTGAAGTATATAGTGCTAGAGAACAAACACTCCTCTAAGAATAGATCTTAGTACTATTACGTGAAAAAGTGTGAGTTTCAGGAAACTCAGAAAGGAGTGAAAATTGAGATGATGAAAGCAAGATCGTACATCACGAACAAATAAAGGTGCCAAAGTAAAAGGAGCATAATAGCCAGTGGGTTTTACACCAGACCTCAACCCCCATGACTCAGCTGATCAATAGCTCTATGGTGACTGACTGCAAAGTCAACAAAACCAGCTCAATGTATATGTGTTAGACCTAGACACGAATGCATGTGTATCTTTGATTGATTTGCAGTGTGTGCGATACTGACCGATTAAATTTTTTCCCCATAGACCCTGGCGCTGTGTATGAAGTCAAACTGGTGGCCTACAATGGCAATGGAGAGAGTGACTGTTCAAAGAAACTGGTGTCACTGGCTGAGGACGGGACTAGTGCTAAAACCAGAGCAGGTAAAGCAGCTTTTGCTTTGGCACATATGTTCATTATTTTGAAGTGCACTGTATAATGACCATGTTCTGTGGTTCAGGAGAGGAAACTCACTGTAACTGCAGGGGTGTAGAGAGCTCGGTCAGCAGTATTGTGATTGGCATCCACATCGGCATGGCCTGCATCATTTTCTGCGTGCTCTTCCTCATGTTCGGATATCGGCGCAGGTAATGGAGCTTTTGGTTAGATGATGTCATGAAACTACATGCACAAATTTTACAAATATTTGCTTATTAATTCACTTCACAAATATGGAATATTATAATATTAAAATATATTAAAAATATTAATTCTATCTATCTATCTATAAATATATGTATAAAGTGAGAGAGAGAGAGAGAGAGAGAGAGAGAGAGAGAGAGAGAGAGAGAGAGAGAGAGAGAGAGAGAGAGAGAGAGAGAGAGAGAGAGAGAGAGGAGAGAGAGAGAAAGTGTTTTAATGACTACAATTTCCATTCAAATATAAGAAAAATATTTTATATTTGTTAAATATTTTAAATATGAGGGAAGAAAAAAACACTAAACTTAGTTAAGGTATCTGACAAAATTATTTGTATATGCAAAAAAGCATAGAAAAACAAAAAGCTCACAGGAAAAGGCATGCATTGACTACAACATAATCAGTTATTAAAATGTCATTGGTTCTCTCTTGTTTTGTTCATAATTAATAATGTCGCACAATTTGGCATGTTTCATTGTGTTATCACAAATAAAACTATTGACTCCAAGCACAACTAGCAATATACTTACAAAATCTTTTTAAAAAAAAAATAATAATATTTGAATAAAGGATCCGAGATGTCCATTTTTCTTGGCCGGACATCACTTTTGGCCACTTCTGTAGTTTAATAAATATGATATAAATACATTAATAAATGCATTTAAATTTTGTCTCAGTTTCCTCTGTAGGAAAGGGACTCAGGACAGCTGGTCTGTGCCACAGGGCGAAGATGGAGGACATCATTCTCAAAGCAATGGCATCCCAAAAGAGGGAGTAACACGGCCTGCTCAAGGCATTGAGTTAGTTCCTCCGGTAAGACTATCATCTGTGGTCTAGCTTCTCAGTGCATTATAACTGAGAATAAGCTGTCTTTAGCAGATTGTCTATTTTAGCAGATTGTCTATTTTTACAGATTGTGACTCACCAGTTTGATCAGCAGGAAGGTTGTTTTGCTGCCAAAACACTTTTACACCTTTTCTTGTCTGTTATCAGAGTTTATATCATCAGCAACAATACTTTAGCATCTCAGGCCCTGTTTACACCTGGTATTAAGATGCGTTTTGATCGATTGGATCACAAGTGGACGACGCTAAATACAGGTGTAAACGTGGTCTAAAACGTTTTGAGCTTGTCCACTTTTGATCACTTCCAAAGGTAGAAAATGCATTTGACCAGATTGCCTTTATAGTGCAAATGCTCATGTGGTCGAATCATGTGTTCAAACAGACACAAAAGACCACCTACTGACTTAAAGCATAAACATTATAGGAAGCGCTCTAGCTAGACGTGATTTAAACTTTATTTTGTATTATTTATTTTTTATTTAAACTATGTATTTTGGCTGAAGACCCAAGTTTAGGTTGAAGATGAAAAACGTACCAAGCACAATGTTCTCTCACTATTCCTGATTTCTAACACACACTCACAACGTTCAGTGAGGTCTTGCGGCTGTCAGAGCAGAAACTAAAGCTGCTGCTCTCCGTGTGTTTTTCCGTCATCTCCGGGCACGTTCATTTGTAAATTGCTTGAGCTTATTTCATCCATTAGATCAAAAAATCTGAAAAAACCCATACATTTGCCTGCCCAAAGACCCTCCCCTTAAAGAAATCAGGACAGAAGTGTTTGAAAGTGGGCATAAGAGACAGATTAAAACACCAGGTGTAAACGGGACTGTGTCTCCCTCGTCTACTTGTCAACCAAAACGCATTTTAATTCCAGGTGTAAACAGGGCCTCAGTGAGTGCACTGCAATGGAAAACTGCAGTTGTCTGCTCTGCTTGTCAGGGTTTTTTAAAAAGGTAGCATATCATACTAAAAGCTGTTTTCTCTTTTTCAGGTTCCTAATATAGATCGCCAGACCCAATGCCAGGTTCTTATTGAGCAGCACTCGTCCAGTCTGCCAGGCACAGGCACAGGCACAGGCACAGGCTAGCACTGCCTCAGTGATCTCGCTCTTTGTGGTTCCTCTGCCTAGCCTGCCCACCAAAGTCCCCTTTAATCCATATTTATCATGCCCTGGCCGTCACTTAAACTGCTGCTACTGTTGAAGGGTGTAAAGTATCTACAAAAATGCATATAGTGTTTTGCTACTGTAATTGAGTTTAAGTGAGCCCGTCCCATTTGTTTCCTCGTTTCCTCCCTAAAGAACCAAAGCTTCACTGCTTTAAGATCTATATGCCGACGTGTCCGCACAAGAACACCAAATGATAGCCTTAGGAGATACTGAACACTGTTTTTAAGTTGCAAATAGTTTTACGGCACTCTTTCTGAGCATAAATACACAATGGAAGCAAATCAAAACAAAGAATAATACCAAAACCACTTTGTATTTTATTACCAAAGGACTTTCTGCTAAAACCAAAACTTCCCTTTGCAATGCGTCCTGTGGTAATAAAATACACACAAAAGATAAACATAAGATTTATCGAACTACATGATTTACAAAACAAGCTATATTCTCAGTTGAAATGATTACAGGGAACAGAGGTTTGTTCCATTTGTTAGCCTTAGCTCGGATATATACCAAGATTAATAACGTGGCCTTGCTTTTGCCTTCGCTTGTGGTTGTGCGAGTTCAAATAAATTGATTGTTGTATGTTTCACCGTACATGCCTCGAGGCAGGCTACCCCAGAGGAACCATAAAGGTGATGGATTCCTATTCCTATCCCTCGTAATACCCACCAAAAGCTGTATACCTCCAAAGATAGCTACCTCAGAATGTTATTTTGGGCTAACTTTAGTCCCTGCTGATAAAGCATGCCTACCTCAGCCAAAAAATGTCCAGATACCCGCTACTCTTCCCACTGCCAGTGCCTGTGCCATCTGCCTCCAGAACCTGCATTCAGGTGCCCATCTGGTCGACTGCCATGGAGAGTGTGACCTTAGCCGCTCCAAATATTGCCTTAGCAGACAAAAGCTGTCTGGGAACCCTTCCCTACCTCATCATCGTCCAGAGACACGTGTGCTCAGCCATTGCTCCAAAAACACCTTTGATACGATTCTCTCCACGTCCATCCATCGTACGCTTTGGATATGATGATTTGGATCCTGTCAAGCCATTGCGAAGGATTCCTCTCTGATGCTGCTAAACTCCAAAGAAAATGATGAAAGAGCAGGAAGAGAGGGGGGATTCGTTTTGTTCGGAGAATGTGACATGAAAAGTTTTTGCATGGAAAGTATGGACCCAATGGGATATTTTTGGGCCTTTCCATGTGGATACCCGTTAAACCAAAAGCTTAGGCTACTTTTGTTTTTCCCACCAAGGAATATGTGATGGCATCGAGAGGATGTTTATCCAAAGTGATTCTTTTCAGCCAAACCAACTGGTCTTTTCTCCAGATGCCAAATCGGTTGCCATGGGAGCTTGAAGGAGCTGCGAGATGATGGTTGATTTCGGGTTTACTGAGAAACCGCCGCATTCTCTCTTCCCCAAACAAACAGGCATGGCAGCAGATTATCCAAAAATGTTTTTGATATGAAAACCAAGCTTTATGATATCCAAAGATGTACAATTTTTTAAGGTTTTCATTTGTCTTTGTACCCATGTCCTAAGCCATTGTGTTGACGTTTTTGCAGTTCATGTTAAAAGGGGAAGTTGCAATAAAATGTACTACTTAATTAACAACAAACCTATTCACAGAAACACTCTTAAAAACAAAGCGATGCCATAGAATAACCATTTGTGGTTCCTCAAAGAACCTTTCAGAGTTCTTAAAAGAACCATTATTTTCTTAGTATGAAGAACATTTTAATAATCTAGAGAACCTTTAGTGGAATGGGAAAGTTCTTGTAAGGTTCTTCACCGAGGCTAATAAAGAACCTTTATTTTTAAGAGTGAATAATAAGCTTAATAGTCAAATTCCCCATTTTCCCCCTTTTGACATTGAACTGTAGGATTTTAGTTTGAAAACCTTTTAACATTGAAATAATAACCAAATGAAAATGGGATATATTTTCAAGGAGATTTTATATGTTGATATAAGAACAGGAACGTTTGTGTCCTCTTTACGATAATAGAGTTGAACTTGCCAAATAGTAGAATAACAATAATGCCAAATACCTCTTTCATATTTAACATTTGTAACCTTTATATTTTGTAACACTTCATTACCAAAGCACAGGAACATACACGAGTGTACGGTTTATGTATGTAAATGTGTGTTTTGTGATTGGCTAACAGTATAGGTCAAACCTGGGGTCAGTAGAGGTCAAAGATCAGAAAGAGTCATGGGAACTATGTCTATACAGTAACATATGAATGGAACCAAAGAACTTGACTTTTTCACTGATACGCATCAAGAAAGCAAATGATGATCTAGCCAAGAGTATCATCCTTTAAAACTGCTTTCTTAAAGACGCTCTACTCTACTTCAGGTTGACCTTTTGAACACAATGAGTGTGAAACGTTTGCCCACAATCACTGCAGTTCAAACAGCCCCTCCATAGACTAAAACTCTCATCCTTATGTTGAATTTGAAAGAACCAAAGTATTTGGAGAAAGAAAAATGGGAGGATTTTAGATTTGTAGCTGTATAGCGTGATTCGTATAGTGGGAAACATTAGATGACTCATATTTTAAACACAATATTTGGTTCTTTTTGTAGAACTTTTTTTCTCTCTTTCACAAAGTTGTCACGGTACCTACCTTGGTTTGGAAAGATGTTCATTTTTGTACTGTTATTATTATTAATATTTTAATTATTGTTATTGCTTTTTGATAAACGCCTGTTTTCATTTTTCATTTCTCTGTAGCAGACGAAGGAGAATGTGAAAGTGTTTGTTAGGGAAAAACAGTGGGTCAAATACAGCAGGTCGTCAAAGATGTGATTTGGGATTCACAGTGTCTATTTGCCTTTATACTCTACACAATTTGTGCGAATCACCCTCATGTTAATGTGCAGATACCGAATGCACTTTTACAACGGTTTCAAACCACAAAATAGCACACATAGGCCTAAGTGAGTGAATCTGCCATCTGTTTGGATTATGACCCACTGGTTAGAAAAAAAAGGAGAAAAAAATAGTAGGCTACTAGAGATTAAGGGCTAGAACCAACGAGGAAAAACAATGCTTTAACATGTATTTTCTTTTGAGTTATTTGAACCTGAAAACCCAAAAGCTTTAAACACTTTGAGACTGTGATGTCTCCAACCAAAAAGATTAAAAACAGAGATTGGTGTCCAGAATGGACAATTACAGAGCCGCCATAAACAAAGGGACCGAGTGATGCATGCACAATGTAAATGGACCATGGTTGTTGAAACTTTTTTGAGTGTGTATGTTTGTTCTATTGCAGACTGTTAAAGGGATAGTTCACCCAAAAATGAAAATTCACCCTCATGTTGTTCCAAACCCGTAAGACTTTCGTTCATCTTCAGAACACAAATAAAGATCTTTCTGTCCCTCCATTGACAGCTACACAACTACCACTGTGACGCTTCAAAAAGATAGTAAACTAAACGCATCATAAAAGAAATCCATGTGACCAGTGGTTTAACTGAGTGCGACGCGAGTGCTTTGTGAGCGCAAAACAAAATGCGATTTACCACTTTATTTACTAAATATTAATCTCCAACACGTGTTCACGTAACAACGTCCGGTCTCGTGTCAACATAACATGCACGAGTCGTGGTGCTTTCGTGAACGCACTTTGGAGATTAATATTTTGTAAATAAAGTGGTAAATTGTCGTTTCATAAAACTGCGGTTAAACCACTGCGGTCACATTTATGATGTGTTTAGTTTACTAACTTTTTGAGGCGTCAAAGTGGTAGTTGCGTAGCTGTCAATGAAGGGACAGAAAGCTCTCAGATTTCATCAAAAAGATCCTCATTTGTGTTCTGAAGATGAACGAAAGTCTTGCGGTTTGGAAGGACATGAGGGTGAGTAATTAATGACATAAGTTTCATTTTTGGGTGAACTATCCCTTTATTGGCTTAATATACAGAGCACAGCCCATGAATTGATCTGTCTGCAGAATGAAATTACTATGCCAGAGATGAGTTCATAAATTCATGTTGATCATGTTGCTATTCAGATTTTACAGCATTTCTCAGATTGGCACTAGTTCACAAAACAAAAATGTCAAGATCCTTCCAAGTATTGCATTATTATAGTGATTGAATACTCGAGAATGGGCTTTGATGATTTCCTTTCCTGTTTGGAGAGATAATGTTGTCTGCCATTTCCTAGCATCCACTGCTGAACTCTCTCTTGATTAAGGTGACTATTGTAATAGCACAGTCTCTGATCTCTGCTTTTCCTAATTTGTTCAAATTCCAGGACGCCTGAAACCAAATAAAAACAAAGAACAAGAGTACGTTTGTGTGATTGCTCCTCAACTGGACGTAGTGACATATAGCCCAGAGTTGACTGTAAAACATTGCTTCAATTAATCTAGTATGAAATAATCAGACATGCACAAGTAAACACAATAGCCATATGACTGAAAGACATTCAGTGTTTCTGTTATCATGTTATACTGCCCTGCCAATGGAATCGAAACTCATCTATGGTTAATTAGCATGAATCAATGACAACTGTCGTTTACCATCACCTCCACTAATCTGGACAAGACTGACCTCCTCCTCTTCCTCGCCAAGACCTCCCTCACAAAATCTCTCTTTATCTCAGTTTAGGTCATTGCTTAATGGCTGCTATCATTCAGATGTGTTGAAATGCTGGCTGCCTTTCTAAATAGAGTCACATTAAGAAAACTGCCCGATCATTCATTGCTTAATGTTCATGATTAAAAGGAAATGCGACCCTCAAGTTACTCTACTCGTCTTCTTAGACGGGCCCTATTCTACTTCAGCAGTAACAGCCTGCATTTATAGTTTTAGTGTCTAAGCATGTAAGCAAAAAAAAAAAAAAATGCATTTTATATTTGCTGTTTTGGTGGGGTTTAAATTAGTTCCTGAGACAGCTATAAATAAAAATAATTTTATTAAGCATTATTTGTTTTTGTTTGGCAGTAAAAATATATCATTGTTAAATCTAGATACATTTACTTGAGGAGCAAAATATAGACATTAAGACTTGTTTTTAATTCGTTCTCTCGTTTTAGGTAAAGCCATGTTGTAGCTACTATTTCGTTCCCCTTGTTTTCATTTTTGGCTTCGATTTAACTAAAGGCACGTTTACACGACAACGATGCACTAAAAACAGAAACCTTATTCACATACGGACGACAACATTGTCAAAATGATCCCGTTCACACGGATCCGCAAAAACAATTTGCAAAAACAAAAACGCTGTATTATTCCTGCCACGCCAGTAGTTGGCGATGTCACTTTGTAAAGAAACATTATGCACCTAGAATGAACACATGCGCATGACGTCACAGTTTTCACAGATTCACGTTTTTGTAGATAGCTGTATCGATTTTTAAAACCTTTGAAACCTGTTTCAAAAAAATTTCAGGCCCTCTTATTGCCGTAGTCGTGTAAATGAACAGCCAAAACACATAAAAAGTTTTAGTTGAAAATGGTGTTGTGTAAACGGACCCTAAAACAAGGCAACAAATTAATAATTTGTGAGAACGAATTAGTGCAACGTGGCCACGATTTACCTAAAACGAGGAAAGTAATTAATAAATGGGAACAAAGGGGTTGTTTTACACCGTTTTTAACTAAAAATGGAAAACTTTTTATGCGTTTTGGTCGTTCATTTACACGACTACGGCGTTTTGGGGGCCTGCAATTCCAAACTTTTGAAAACGGGTTTCAAAATGGACGTTTTTGAAAACAATACTGTCATGCGCATGTGGTATTACGTGTTAGTGTTACACATAGTGTTTCTTTACAAAGTGACATTGTCACCAACTACTGGCCTATGGAAGCAGTATATAGGTAGCAATATTCAATTTTAAATGCAATATGCAAAATGGCTATACATTTCTGCATTTAAATTTAAAATGTCCATACCGATATGTGCAACGTTTGGTG